TTTCAGTCTAGCTCATTACATTCACTTACCTTTCCCAAAGGTATTTTGTGTATGAATCCATCTTCTCCAGCTATGGGTTGGTTGAATAACAGGATAAACAAGGTCCTAGAGCCTTGGTTGGCAACCAGTCTATCACAAAAATAGCAACCTACTGCAGGGAAAAACATTTGCCTCATCAGTCATGAATCAAAAGAAACATGATTGCTCAAATGTGTATTACGTATGACTGAATAAGTGAAACTAAAGTGAAGAAACCAAAGCACTTAAAAAGGAAAAAAAAAAAAAAAAAATTTATGGCTCTATGTAACTTTAACTTATGATAATTACTATCTTTTGACACTCAAGGTCATGATTAGTGTATGTTGGTTTCAATTCCTGCAAAACACTCCCCACAAAAAAATTTAAAAGCAGAACAACAAATGTATGCTGGGATTTCTTCCTTGCCAATAAAATAGTCCTGGTCTATATTGTTTTGAAGTTAAAACGTTATGTTCTTTTATTTTACATTTAACCATGGCCATTCACACTACAGTGTAAAAACTCAGTTTTAGAGCAGTGTCCCTAGACATATTCCTGGTGGTTGTTTCACACAAATATATCTGAAGATGACATATGTATCATGCATCTCTTGAAGGCCTAATTTTAAGGAGGTCGCATCATGCATGAGAAAATTTGTGTATGTACTGCTGGCTCTGCTGTTGACCAAATTATATATCCATTTACTGTAGTAAAATTAGCTTCAAAATTAGGTCACATAATATATACAGTACATAAAAGCAAATAAAGTTAAAGAAAAATAAGAGTGCATGGAAAGTACCTGAGATTTTGAAGCAAAGACAATCCTAGTTAAATCTTTCTCAGTAAGTTTCTCTACTTATATAGGAAGCTTGTTTTGAGAAAAATTCTTGAAGCATCATAGCTAAAGTTAGAAAATATTAAAAACGTCAATTAGTGAAGCAATCCTGAGCCAAGGTGGATGGGTAAAAAAAACAAAAAAAAAAACAAAAAAAAAAAAAACAAACAAAAACAACATTCTCTATATGGTTAGTAACAAGAGTTCCCCTAGTAAACTGAACCTCACTTTCTGTTCCCCTTCTGAGGTATTCAGGGCAATAAGATTTCTTTTACCCGATTTCTGTAACAGATATTCTAACACTGTACTAATGTTATACTTTTACAAGTTATGTTTAATCAATATGCAGATACGACTGATGCAGAAAAAGCAGTTGGATATGTTGAATATTATTTGAAACATCTAACTTTTAAAAAGCAAAAAAAATCCCGTTATCACAACAACCTCTTAGGAAAATAAATTATTTGAATTAACATTATTTGTCGCCATATTTAATCATCTTTGTGTTGTACATTCTCCAGGAAAGCTTTCTTTAATCAATTTTCGGCGCCACTGGGGTAGACTCCGATAAGTTATTCAGTTTGATGGATGCCGTTATCTGAACCGTTTAACAGGAGATAACTGACATCCATCAAACATGGCACTAGAACAGTCTACCCCAGTGAGCAAAATAAACGGTTCAGTTCAAAATTCCAACCACCTGAAGAAGGCCGGAGCATACAACGGCCGAAACGTGATAAACATGGCGACAAAGATGAGGACAATAGTCCAAATAATGTAAATGTACATAATACCTCATCTCAGAAATATAGACAGAGGAAAATAAGTGTAACCAATAATGAAGTTAGGGGAAAAGTGCTGCTGAAGACCCTACAATTTAAAGGAAATATAAAAAAAAAAAAAAAAAAAAAGTATTTGTTTATGCATTTGTGCATCATATGTGTATTTGCCATTCAATCAGATTGTTTACCTGGATTAAAAGCAGTTTTCAGTTCCCAGAAAGCAGATATAAGATAATGCCCTCAATGGATGTCATGGGGATTGGGAATTACTAAACAATACTGACAAGGAATTTTGTTTGCCCAAATCATTGGCCATCCTGAATATACAGGATTTAAATTTCAATCTTAAGCACCAATATTACTGTCTATTCATTTAGGATTCTTAGAACAACCTTCACAATGCATGAGAAGTCGTCCTACATTCACCATTAACAGACATTCTTCAGGTGGCCCCAAAATTAGACCCTCTGGATACTATAAAAACTCATATATATATATATATATATATATATATATATATAAAAAATATCAAAAATGAAGTAAATTTATTCCCCCTTCATAGCCCCACCCAGGAAGTTTCTGATCCAGTTGTACACAAAATTCAACAGGATGAAAAATTATTTAGACTAATATCCTCATCTTCATTATTACCACTGTTTCAGACATTGTGCTCTCTGGCCTTCTTCAGGTGGTATGTCAATTCCCTGACAGTTGGCCAGATTGACATTTCCACCTTAAGTTTATGAACCAATTTCCATGTGACAATCGTTAGTAGCATAGTAATTCAGAGTCCAGACCCTGGGTACACTCAGTGGAAACAGGGTTAGTGGTCAAGCAGTATTTAAAAAAAAAAAAAAAAAAGCATTTCATTTACTTGAAATCATGATTTAACCAAAATTGTGCAGATTTCACATTTTACTGATTGCAGTGCAATGATACAAACAAAAAAAAATTCAGGTTTCAGTCAACTGTGAATTTCTATTGGAGTACTACATCAATGTGGGCAAAAAAATCAGTTGCTTTATACCTTAGTACTCATAATTAACGAATACCATCACTGTGATAAGACATTAAACATGAACAGAATTTTACATACTGTTTTGTAGACCAACAGATGATTTATATTAACTTTTTGTATGAAATTTACATTTGCTCATCAGATTCAAGATTTAGTATTTATAAATCCCATGATATTAAGGTTAAACCGTTAAATTCATATTTAGTTAACTTATAAATTGTAATACATGTCTTCATAGCTTGACGAAAAGATACATTGAATTAGTAAGCTAATCATTTGATGGGCGATTTGATTATTAAAATACAGTTTATTTTGATTTCATTGCAATAGATATATTGTGTTAACTAGAACAGAAAGCAATTTGGTGTCATTTCATTCTGTGTATAATTATTATATTGCTACTTTGAGGATCTAACTAGATGAGTTGTCATAAAATAACAATTTCCATTACCAAATAAATAAAGAAATGGATTGCCATCTGATAAGTCATGTGTGCAGCAGACCTTGTTAGGTGATTTTCACTTTGATTGGCGGGAGGGTCCACAAAGTTTTAGATTAACATACCTTAGATTCTTTATGAATCAACTCAAGGTTGATGTGTTTAAGTTTTTTTTATAGTTGGCAAAATATTTTAGTAATTCTTCGAAGTGTAATGAAGTTATGGCCAGTTTTATTCCTGTGTATGAAATGCTGTCCAAACATAAATCCCTTTTGAATCCTTAGTCCTAATTTTGGTTTTTGGTGGAATTAGAAAGATTTTTTAATAGTAGCATATTTTTTTTTTTTTAAATGTCACATGTTATGTACTAACTACACAGTCATTTATAAGAGAATAGAAATGATTTTAATTTCCCTGACTTACCTTGATTCATGGGGATAATTAATTTCCTCATTCTCAATTCAGTGACACCATAAGCAGTGCAGTGAAGTCAGGCAAATTTAGTTAAAGATGCAATTCAGTAAAAATACTCTTGACCCCTCCCCCCAAAGAGGTTTTTTTGAACTACTTGCTCAGCCCCAACTGAGCAAGCCAAGCTCTTAGCACACAGAACAAAGCAGACATTTAATATAGGAGCAGCTGTTGAAGATTAATGTAGATGGGCCTGTCAATAATTTAGGATGACATGACAATGTAATAGAAGATAATTTGAATCTTTAAGAACAAGAGTGCAGGATAAATTTACAAGTGGACACTGGCTAAGCTTACAGCAATTTCAAACTTTGAAGCATGCTTGCAACTCGAGAGCCAATATTAAGAATTTCTTAATCGAAAGAACTGTCTCCATTTTAAGATTTTTGTATGTATCAAATGAGTTTAGTCATATCAAAATGTTAGAAAACACAGGCAGCAAATTAGTTGCAACCAAACTGATCCAAAGTCTGTCAAATATGACATTCAATGAAGACATCTTTAAGCAAATTATGACCCAAGGTCAGTTAACATTTAATAGGCAGCAGGTTCAAGAGATTTATGACTTAATATCATAAATAAAACTACAGGATAGAGTGAAGCCGTAAGTAAAGTATTGACCTGATATTTACAAATTCTAGAGTTAATCTCCTTTGGATTATATGGTTAAGTGGTTTATCATGATGCAACATTGTTCATTTTTTGAAATAAACAGTGTTAATGCATCTTTGTAATATTTTTCAAGTCCATGGTGCAAGAATAGACCTTTTAGGAAAGTGTTAAACATTAGCTAATTGATATTAGTCATTTCAATGAATTTTGGCAAGAGTTACAAGTATATAGAGGCTGCTAATTTAAATAGTACAATGTAACATACCAAAATTAGTCTTCATGTACAATGTCATTAATAAGTTCTTGCAATTGATTTTATCAAATTTAAAAATGCATACCTTTTATGATACAGATGACAAGATCCCATTCCAAGAATTCATGCAATCTGGTCCAACAAAAACAAGTTTTTTAAATCTCAGTGTATAGAAAGCAGAAGAAAATGAGATTTAATGTTGATTAAAACAAAGCTAAACATTTCAACTGTTACTAATTCTAGCAAGAAACTTTCTTATGCTTTCTTTGAGAAACCAAGTAAAAATCCAAGAGCCATTATTTGGTAAGGCTGAGAGCGAAAAAGGGAAGAAAAAAAGAAAAAAAAAAGAAAGAAAAGGGTCAACATTGTTAGTATACAGAAATGTATATGCACACAAAATAGCTTCTAAAAAGCCTTCCAAAACAATGGATCCTGAATTTGGAAACCAACATAAGATCAGAGTATCAAGAATATTTTTGGTTTATTTACAAATGAATTTTAAAATAGCCATTTTCAATTAGAATATAAAAAATTTCATAAAAGAAAAAAATTAAAAAAATAAATAAATTTATTCACAAATGTACAATGAAAATGCAGAATTGCAATTTCAGCATCCACATGAAAGGCCAGCTTTCAGATGAAACCTGGAAAGAAACAGAAAATTGTATTAGCAATGTGTATATAGTGTACAATAAGTAAAGGTATTTATCAATTGGGATCCTGGTCCCCAAGGGAATATTTTAGCCAAGAAAGTATCAATAGTCCTAATTGTTTTTTTCTTTAAATGAGGTCTTAAAGAAGAAGGAAAAAAAAAAAAAAAAAAAAAAAAAAATGAAAATAAATGAGACAGAAAAAATTAAAATAGAGAGAAAGAAAAAAAAAATTTCCAGTGTAGGATCTTTAGTGAACACCGAGTTTTAGAAAACTTGAGAAAGGTGAACGAAAGGTGTCAGTGAGGAAAATAGAAAAGAAAAAGAAAAAAGTGATCTAAGACTTCAAAACAATAGCAAATATAAGAAACCAAAGTTCAAAAGCCCTGAAATATCCAGAAAAGGAAGACAGATGGATTAAAACTGAAGAGAAAGATGAGTTTTTTTTCTTTAAAGAAAAGTACATTCAAAAAACAGAAATACACTTACAAAATGGGAGGATATATATATATATAAAAAAAAACAAAAAAAAAAAAAACAAACAAAAATAAAGACAAAATACAAATGAAAACAAAATAGAAGAAAAAAAATAAGAAAAAAGTGGGAAGGGGAGTGGGTCAGGTCTTTTTTCCTTTTAACCATTCACTGAGCATTCCATCTGAATCAGATTTTTTGCCCAAAGCAAGCAAAATATTTTGGGACAAAATTCCAGTGTTGCCGTTTTTTTTTCCCCCTTTGTTCAGTTGTTTTAGAATGAGTATATACAAAAAAAAAAAAAAAAAAAAAAAAAAAAAAGAAAAAAGTCAGACTAATGGCTCAATTAGTTCATTTCAAAAGTCAGTATCCGGTAGTAGTAAGAATAAGTGTAGTAAGAGTAAGTGTAACACCTACATTTATTGAACTTTTAATTTTTTTTTTTTTTTTAAAAAAAAAAGCACCCAGCAATTTGAAAGGAAAGATCACTTTAAAAACTTTAGTTTATTTTATAAATGTATGGTTATAAATAAATATCAAGTGATTTCAATGTGTTACAGAAAACATTATGGGAACATTTTAAATTGCAGAGCTGTTTGGGGGAGTTTATTTATTTTTTTTTTTTTTTCTTTTCCGTTCACCTTTCTAAAGAAAAGTTTTCCATAAGCTCTTCAAAATTAAAAATGAAGAACAGTTATTTTAGAAGTAAAAAAGCTTTTGATCAAAAATTTAAACAATTGAGAAAGCCAGCCCCCCAAAATGGCTTGAAATGTACAAGTGAAGAGCTGTGGAAAGGAGAGGCTGGGAGGCAGGGACAAGTACAATAGTTGTAGATATTGTGCAGAGACAGTTTCAGTTCTCTCTACGTGAAGCAGAGTTACTTTTTAAGTTTCTTTCCTAAGTCTAGGGAAGAAGTTTTTTTTTTAATATCTCCAAACATTTAACGGTAAACATTGAAAGCAAAAAAAGAAACAGTGATAAAAGCAATTTATGATTAAACACAACTTTAGCTGATGCCCAAAGTTAAGGTTTATGTTTGTCAAGTTATTGGATAAATAAAGATTTGAGGGCAGAGCAGGTCTTAAAGCAACAATTCTAAAGTTTTTTTTTTTTTTAAATGTTTTTTTCTTTTTAAACTGCAGTTATATATAGACAATGACATGCTGTTTAATTCTGTTAACATTCACACTGAAAAGACTACCACTTGGAATGGGAAGAAAAGATCACCACGTTACCTGTCATTATTTTATGGATGGTGACTCCTCGATCAAGCAGTTAGATACCTTAAGCAAGCGCTGATATCACATTTCCTGGGTCTTTGTTTCTTTGAAGTCTCAGTAGTCGTCCGAATTGTAGAAGAAATTTACTGGCTACAAAGCCAGGACTTGAAGTAGTTGTACAAAATTTTTTTTTTTTTTTAATAAAAATTCCTGTTGGTGTACTACAAGTGTCAGAACATTAAAATTTGTACATTTTTCACTGAATATCAAAGTATACCAGGACAACTGCTAATATTGACGAGATATTAGCATCTATGAGAAGATTTTGTGAGCACATACAAGCCTTAAGGATAGAAGCCCAATTTTGGTTTTTTGGTTTTTTTTTGGCTGGTTGAGTGAGATTGATTTTTGATTGGTTAAGCTTAGGTCACCTGATCGAGTTAAATTGAGTTAGTAAACAAGTCAAAATTTGCTGCATGTTTTAAATTGCCTAAAAATGTATTTTTATTTGTTTTTTTTTTTTTTTTGTTTGTTTGTTTTCATCCTGAGAAATTTTAGCAGCATCTGAGTTTGATTTGCAAGAAGTTTTGTCTACACTGGCTCTATCCTTAAGCTATTTAGAACTAGTTAGACAATTTGACTAAGTTTTAAAATGCATTGTATGTGCCCATTTTTTTTAAAAAACATGTTTATGCCCTGGATAAGTATTTAGACATTGAAAATAAACACAGTTAAGTAATTTAAAAAAAAGTTAAAAAAAATAAAATAAAAAATTCTGCATTTTTTCTTTTTCAATATATCTGTAATTTTTATTTTATTTTAATTTTTTAAACGAGTAATTGAGTTGAACTCGACAACATTCACTAATGTTATGGGATTATCAACTATCAAACATAGTTGATCAATTCACCTCCATTTGAAGTTGTAGAATCTAACCCGACTCGTTTAAGTGTTTAGTTATCCATTGGAAAAAAGTGACTTATGACACTAGTTTATAACTTCACATTTTATTTTGGACAAATATTAATCTACATTTGGCAGCACAGAAGCATGAGGTGACAGAACATCACTAGAATCATTTTGTACTACATGGATACTGACAATGAAGAAAAGGTGGTCGATGTAGGTTTAGTTTAAAATTAAAATATTTAAAGCCTTGTTATGTCCTTGCCAGTTCTGTGTCACCCCCTTTAAAAAAAAAAAGGTGACTTTTAATGGATGAAAGGAGACCAAAATTCCATGAAAAAATGTCCCACTGATTTAGTGTTGGGGCTGATGGGAGTGTGAAATATGGTGCATGAACTCATGATTTTTTGTACCTCCTCCTCGTCCTCACTCACACGCTTGTTAGTCTTCTGTGGGCCACAACTGACTGAGGTCTGCATCAGTCGGTCAAACTCATCCTGCAGAGCTAGATGGGAAAGACTGGACGATGACAGCGACGACGACCACTGTAGCAGGGAAGAAGTAGGGATAGATTGGGTTGACTCTTAGTAGCCACCACCACCCCGGCCACCATATGGATGGCTTCTGTATTGTCCCTTGGCACCTCGAGTGGGGGGTGGGGCCTTCATTTGACCAACATTTGTGCCCCAACCATCACCTGAAAATTAAAGAAAGGTTGGCTAAAAACGAAGAGAAAACATACACATTTACAGAAAAATTAGCCTAAATGTGAAGAAGTTATATTCAGATAATGACATTGAAAATAAAATAATCATCCCCATACCACCCTGGAACAAATGTTAATTTCTCAAGTTGGAAACTGAATGTCAATTTAAAGACATGAGAGTGTTCTACTTACCATAGCCTTCATCATACTGCCCACCTGCACCATGTCCATAGTCATAATACTGTGAATCCCTGGGGAAGAGAAAGAGAAAATTTTTTAAAAGTGTGTATGAAATGAAAAGAGACTTGGTAATCCCACAAATTTATTGTACCAGGCGCTGGAGACACAGATAAATGTAACTGTGCACTATGAACCTGAAAATTACTGTTTGGTTACTCATGAGTGTACCAACACTATCGGCCAAGAAAAACTCAAAGCACCCAGTGCGCTTCAGGAGTACAAACCTGGGTACAATTCACTCTAACCAAGTAATGAAAGTGAAACTTGCAAAGTAAGGTGTTGGTAGTGGTGGCGTGATGAGAGAGAGAGAGAGAGAGAGAAATACTTAGATATGAAGAGAAAACATGAGAAATGGGTTATTGCCATATAAAACAAAATACACTATCTAGGGTGACAAATTAAAGCCATTGACAGAAATACAACCAGCCAACAACAGTTGACAAGAGGGAATAAAGAACTGATGTGAGCAAAAGTCAAATTCCTCATGAACATTGTATCTGGAAAGGCTATTGACCATGGCCAGACTTTCAATTTTTGGATGGCTCTTTAAACAACAACTGTTTCTCTTGATAAAATCATCCTTTAAAAAGGCATAAAATAGATAAAACATGAAAGAATAAATGATACTTACACTTGTCCATAAGACTGATCCCCATAACCACCTTCATAGCCACCTTGGTCTCCATAGCCCTCATTATAACTTTGATCATATCCCTGGAGAAGAAAAAAAATGTTGCAGTTTAAATTTTCAAATAAGGCAAGGAGTTTTTTTTTTTTTTGTGGATATAATATTGATAACAGTTTATGAGAGAAGATTCAAAACAATGAAGCAATTAGATTTTTATAGCTTGAATTCATGATAATGCCTTCAATTGTTCAGCTTATGTTTGCTTCATTAAATTTGAAATCACCATGCACCCATCAGCTGCTAGTGAAGTTGCATGTCAACTCTTACCAATCGCTTCTTTTGTTAGCCAATTTGGCAGTAATCAGATTAATGAAAATCCAGGATTATCCAGATGAGGATAAGAGTCTAAAATAGAATGGAGATAGAAGCCCATGCCTGTGAAAGGTAATCAATTGAGCATCACAGATTTAATAATTATGGTTAGCACAGGCCAAAATACTACCCCCTCCCGGTATTACACACCCACCCAGTTAGTAAACAAAATGTCACATTTATAATTGGTCAAATCAGTAAAGTAACAATTTATAAACAAATAAAATAAAGAGGAACAAAACTCACATAATCATCATAGCTCTGCTCCATTGGTGGAGGTACTTGAGGAGCAGGGGCAGCTCTACCACGGCCAGCAGCCATGCCACCACGTGGTGGCCCTCCTCTGGCAGGAGGAGTACCACGACCAGCAGGAGCACCTCTAGATGGAGGTGGGATTGCTCCACCCCTAAAAGAAAAAGAACAGTGCAAAAAATAAAATAAAAGTAATCTCTTGATGTACATAGGAATAGGAGTCCCCCCACACACACAGCTGCCACAACCTCTCGGTGGTGGAGAAGAGAGAGAGAGAGAGAGAAAAAAAAAAAAAAAAAAAAAAAAAATAAAAAAAAATGCATTACCTGCCAGCAGGTCCTCCCCGTCCACCAGGATTTGTCAACAAACCACCTCTGGGTGCCCCACGTGGAGTCTGTCCAGGAGCACCTCTCCCCCGCCCTCTGCCGCGACTGCCATCTCCACCATTGAGGTACATCAATTCCTGTAACTGTTGTTGACGGATTTCGTCATTGTAATCATTCTGAAATTTAAATAAATACAACATAGAACTGGCATTAACAGAGTAATTTGAAGCCAAATCTTTCTGCATTTAGTTCTAAGTAAAGTAACACACTTACTGGAATTAAGTATTTCTGTAACTCAGTAAAAGCATGGGCCATTCTTTGATATGCATCAGAAGCTTCAGCATAAACCTCTACCAAGACATGTAGATCTTCATTCAAGTGAGCATACTTGCCACCTTCTTTTCTCAATTCATCTTCCTAAAAAGAGGGGGGAAAAAAATTTTTATGGAATTAAAATGGGATTTCCAAAACAAAGAAAAAAGTATCAACTTACAAGTTTAAATAAAGAGAAAAAGAACCAAACAATTATTACACAATCTCTTACCTTAGTTTTGTCCCGCATGGAGCCTTTACCAAGAATTGACATTTTTGTCATGGTTTCTTCTTGTAATCTTTTCAAAGAATTTCCTTTTGGTCCCAATAACTTCCCTACGAAGTTGAACTGTAAGAAGAAAAATGAATTTTAGACTTACTCTAACTTAAATGAATTAAAAGGACTAAATGATACAAAACAAGTAGTTATATAAATTGTGCTGACATTAAGATACAAATAATTCAGGTTAAATTCATGTTTTTAAGAGAAAATTAAAATAAATTAGATCAATTTAAAAATATCTTTCACAATTTATCAAACACCTGACAACTTTATACAAGACTGATTAGTCTGTTTTATAAAAAGCAAAAACCCAACAGGTACAAATGAAATGTCCTAAGAAAAAACAAAAACAAAAAACAAAACCTGTTTTACAGATTGCAAACCAGATAAAAATTATGTGTCCTCGCAGGTTGAGGGGGAAAAAAAAAAAAAAAAAAAAAAGAAAAAGTTGGTTTTAAAGATGAATTAAAATAAATTATTTTCACATCTCGTTTAAATACATGTTAAAACTTTTAGATTATAATTTTTTTTTATCACAAAGTTAAAGTAAACCGCATAGATGTTTTAAATTTTTAACGAAACTCCCTTAATAATCATGGTGCACATGTAAATGAATATTTAAAATATTTTTATCTGCTATTTATTAATTTTAAGAGAATTTAAGTTCTAAAATGCACATTATAAAATTAGTATTTAACGAGTTTTATTATTTGGGATCACATCGAAGTGATTTCTTAGTTATAATTCAGATAAAAAATTAAAAATAAGTAAATTGTATCACTATTCATACAGCAGGTAAATAGTATCGCAATTATCTCGTAATTTATTTATCTTTATCGTTTGTTGCGCTAAAGTTTTCATTTCCGTTAAGGAAAAAAGGAGGGAAGGGGGATGTTTTACCTTGGGGAATTCTTTGACAGGGATCTTGATTTTGCATGAGTGTTTGTAGGGTTTTCCAGTGTGTATTTCAAAGCAGGGAATATTTTTTTCCTCTTTTTGTGAACCAGCAGGAGCATTTCCTGACTGTACTCTTTCAATTTCTGAAATTAAAATTAAAAAAAAAAAAGGTAAAAAATTGTTTTAATCCACTAGTGACCAATTTAGGTTAAAAGCTGAAAAGGCATCCGTTAAAGTAAAATGCGTTTTTTTTTTTTAACCTGGTTTATGACAACTTATTTTTAATGTCAAGCCACCAAGGCACGTCACGAAAATTCATTTTTTTTTATATAAGCACAAAGCCTGATGCTAACTTTTCTAGTTTTCAGAAACGATTAGGAAAATAAGAAAAATCTAGCATCAGGACAGAAATCTATAGTTTATTTACTTGTATTAAAAATGAAACCATGTCAATAGAACAGTATTGAGGAAACATTTTATCAAATGTTTCAGAAAAGACTAATTTATTCGTATTTGAAAAGCACAACGATTTAATTGATAATATTAGGGGCACAAACCCCCACATCCGAAGAGTTTAATTTAAAATGTCATTTTCATAATCAAAGAATTTAACGCTTTCCACCAGAGTCAAAAATAGAGAACGGCGAAAAACAAAATTAGTTGACTAATAAACTACACAGCTATTAGGAAGTAAAGGCTTTTGAAAGGAGACTCATTTTGAGCTAACAGAATTAACTAGATTTTTGTTAAAGGTAAGAGGTCAACATTTAATCCTATCCCTTTTCATTTAACCTTTAAATGCAATAGGAAAAGTCAAAGTAACATCTTAAGTTAAGCAGCCAGACTATCCTGGTGCTACAGAAAGAACGGCAAGTTTTCTCAAGAATGGCATTACACTTCCTGATTCTCCTACTCACCATTCTTCAACCCCCCCAATCTCTGCATCACTCCTGAGAAAGAAGCAAATTCTCTAAGTCAGGAAATATCTTTCTCTAAGGTAAGAAATCAACCAAGAATTTCGAACGTGCAATACAATGTTAATGCGCTAACAAAACAAAAAAAAAAAACAAACGGCAATTACAAATATCTTTATCCCCCCCACACCCTCAAGAAGTTAACTTTCTATTTTTAAACTGAATACTAATACTAGAGTACTCAAAACTGACGACTATTTTTGGTTACGTCTATTTAAAAAACTTTAAATATGAATTGAAAAGCTTAAAAAAAAAAAAAAAAAAAAAAAAAGTTAATTTGGGGCAAATTAAAAATGTTCAAGCAGAAAACAATAGTGTATATAAAAAAATAAATCTAATACTAAAAGTAATAGGCATTAATGACTATTAACGAATCGATACGTTAGAATAAAAACACTGAACAAAACGCTAAGAAAAAAAAAAAAAAAAAATCAATTTCATAAGTCTTCCTCGACGGCGTCAAATTATTAAATAGCTTGGAGTCGAAGAAAAAAAACAAAAAAAAAAAAAACTTCTAAAGATCTTCGTTTTTAAGAAATAGTTACCAGAAATCGTCATTGAAATTAAATTTTTAAAGCCACTGCAAGAAAAAAAACAAAAACAAGCATGCACCGCTCAATTATGTTGCGTTACTTTACTTTCAACAAGTAAACAAACACGTATCAAGTGCAAAGAAGCACTCAAATTTGCGTAAAGATCAAATATTTTGTAAAAATGTTTAAAGATGAAATTTTCTCGCTTTAATCTCAGAATTTTTCATCACTGGTCAATTTAGAAAAAAAAAAAAATAAAAAATTAAGAGCACTGGGAATTAAAAAAAAATACTTACTCATATTGCATCGAACTTTTTAAGTTAAAATTCAACCACACGTAAATAAAAAAAAAAAAGTAAGTTCCTAAGGTAAAAAAGGAAGCAAGGTAAAAATTATCGCCTTAAGTTTATGGACTTCAAAAATTCTCTGCTCAATTCAGAGTTTCCAAAATTTTGTTATCACTTTTAAATGCGTCCGTAAAAAGTATTGAGCGAGACCCACGCGCACTGCACCGAAGGCAAAGCAGGAAATAAATGATTTGTTAGACGATGACGACGATCATTATCTCCACCTTTAACGGTACTTTTCAATTTTTGGGTAAAACAAGAATTTTAAGCGAGAAGTCAGGTTTCCTTGTCATCGATGGATTTAAGTGTTGTTAATAAGAGTAGTAGTAGTAGTGGCGATGATAGTGGCTGTAGACTACCTTAACAAAGCAGCCTACTTTGAAAAGGGGAAATGTGCAGGAGCGACGGCGACGAGGAGGAGCACAACTGACGATCATTTCACAATGTTGAGCCAGAAAAAACGAGAAGCGGTGGTAGTAGCAGTAGCAGTAGTAGCAGCAGCAGAAGGACGACGGCAGCGACGGCGAGGTGTAGAGGAAATCGATACAGTTTAGCAGCATGTCACATTCTTGAAATTTCCTGGTCCTCCTTCTTGGCAGACAAGGTGCTGCCAAGAGTTAGAAGAGGCGGTAAGGGAAGGCAGTGGTCGCCATCGTTGTTGTTGTAGTTATTATTTTCATTATTAACAGGGGAAAAAAATAAAGTTTAAAAAAGACGGTCCAGGAGTCATAGCATCTTCCGTTAAATTCACCTTTCCTTTTAGGCTTTCTTATACCTTGAAAAATCTATACATTAAATTTATAAGACATTTTTTTTTATTTCTAAAGTATTTTTGTCTCCCTCTTTTGAAGGAGAATATAAAAATAAACCAAATATAGTTAAAAAATAAAATATAAAATATCTGAAATTTAATTAAACAGCTGTGATAGTGCAAGGACAGAAAACATACACGTAGAGACAAGCACAAGAGCATGCTTTTAGATCCAAAGATGAAAAGAGACGAATGCCGGGGTTAGAGGAAGAGATGTACAACTAGATTAGATAAATATCTTTCATCTCACACACACGTACACATACCAAGCGACTAAAGCAAACGATAGATGGATTTATATCCCAAGACTCTCCTCCTCGCCGTCGCTTCATACAAAAGGCCGCCATTTTAGAAATTATTAACTGGACGACGACTACGACGCATGTGTTCGTTACAATAAATACATAATAACACGTAGCACTTAGATAACAGACATACTCATCAAATTATTGAAGGTTTACTTTATTTAAAGAGAAAAATCATGGAACTATAAACCTCGCATCAAAATATTCCGTATACAGAGATCAAACATTTCGGTTTAATCAATTCAATATATACTCTTTAACATGTGCACTAACATTTTTTCTTTGTTGGGGGAAGAGATTAAGTCCCCGTCATGTTCACGATTGTCACTAGAAGTGAATATCACACAGACCACCACAAATCAATGCAAGTGATACTAACTCGACTGTTTTTATGATCCAACAAACAGTGCAGGTGATAGAGAAAAGGTGAATGTAGATAATTATGCAAAAAGAAGATGGAGACTGGGTCACGTTGATCTCCATTCTCTCTACACAATCAGGAGACAGCATGACTTACTACACACACACACACATATATATATCTATATCTACAGACATGTGTGTAAAGTGAATAGGGACACTGCTGAATAAGAGAAATATATCTTTCCTTGTCTTTTAGCTAACATAAATTACATACTAATAAAGTTGGATAATTGACGCTAATTTATAAATAAAAGTTTGCAATCTAAAGGTTTTACTTACATCAGTATCGGTTAATTACAAGTGACTAACTCAAAAGTCAGACGCAAGCAGCCGGTGAACATGGCCGACAGTAGACAGCACATCTTCCTACTAACTGCTACTACACTAGCCATAGCCAAGGAAGCTATGATGGCAGTCGTCTACAGTGTTTCCAGAACTATAAAATAATTAAGTAGCCACTTACCTTCTGATATTAGTCGAGCAGCATGAGAGGATGGTGCTAAAGATGAAACTTCTCCTTGAAGTTCATCTAGATATGTATTATTTTGCATTGGTTGCTGAGGATCTTCTTCAGCCATCATCATACCTTCCACGACAGAACTAGTTAAACGGGCTTAGATACAATGCTCACCCAGCGCTTTGTGTCAGTGCTATTTATACATCCGGTTCACACCAATCAGATAACGACGCGATGTTATTGAATCCACGATATAGATTAGAATTATACCAACAATTATTATAGATACGACGATAAAGATTACATAATTATTTACACCAACACTTTTACTTTACATTCTGCGTTTAATTTCTGCATGCACGATAATATTTTTAATGGTGAATGAATACATTGAATATTTCCCGCCATTTCTACAGCGCGGTTTTCCTTGCATATTTAGTACGAATAGGGACCCCGTGGTATGGAAAAGGTTTGAATGCAGTTCGCCATGTTCAATAAGTATGTAAGATTAAAAGAAAAGAAGAAAAAAAATAAAAAAATAAAGAAAGCTATATATATTATTAAATGAAAAATAGCACAAAAATACATAAAGTGTATTTTTTTCTATTAGATGCGACCATCCTTTAGAGTGTACGTGCGAAAATAGTATTTTCTGCCTCTTTTAATTAGGTATTTTATGGAACAGTGATAATTTTTTTATATTCTAAAAATTGAAAAAAATTATTGCTAATATTATTACATTTTAAAGACAAAGTCAATGACAATAAGTAGTTTTTTCCTTTTCTTTTCTTGTCATTTTTACAGTAATAGCAACTAATTTTCATTTTTTATGTGATGTACCATTATTTGTTCAGTTATTTATCTATACTTCCTTCAGACACTTTTCCCTTTTTCACAGATTGTATTTTCTATTTTCAATAAGAAAAATCAAGTTAAATATTATTATTAAAGAAATCTCATGTGGAAACACTAAATAATAATAAAACTTTCGTAAATTTTAATAAAATATCAATAACATTTAATATACTTAAAATCTACATTCATAAAATAGTTTCTGAAATTAAAACTATTTTACCATATTGTAGCATAATAGATTTTTTTCCAATCAAATAAAGTAGAACTATTTTTTAATTTGATAGACTAAGACAAAAATATTAATATTATAAAAATAGATATTCAATAGATATCTTGATTTTATTGTTCACTTATTTAATAGACAGTGCAATAACTTAATCAATTAAAAGGTGTTAGGGAAGCACTTTGCATTCTTAAGATCCAAAAACCCTAATTCATTTTTAACAATTCAAATTAAAAAACAATTTCATTTTTCTTAGTTGTAAGCTTTTTATTTTAAGGTTATCAGTTTCTTTTTAGATACTACAAAAATTATTCTGGTTACTTGATGGAAAATGTTATGTTTCTATTTTTTGGAAAAATTCTTCAAATATCTAAAAAGTGAGATAGATTCAAAACTCAATAAAAAATATGAAGAATTGAATGTTCAAAGAAATGGAAAATTGATGAAATCTAACTCACATATAGAATTATCTACTTAAAAGCATATAAAACTGACAACCTACAAGGTAACAAGTTTTTAGCTAAATTTAATTCTTACTTCTACCTGTAAATATAAATACCAAGTGACATGATCTTAAAGAACTTGTTTAAGTGCTTAGTGAGAAGAAAGACTTTGTGAATCAAATTTTAACTTTTAAGAGAATTTTGGGGAATTAATATCATTTCTATCCTTATATTATTGATTTTAGTATAAGCTAAAAAGTCAGTACCAACAATAAAACAAATCAAATAAATTGTAATCCTCCTTGATAGCAGCAGCAGCAGTGGCAGTAAAATGTTTCAAGACGGCTGACCCCATATTGGGATGGGAACTTGCCAGAAATTTTAAGGTTTTCATTTTGTGTACATCCTGTAAAATAACCTATTTGACACAGTTGGGGTCTTATTTTCATTTTAAATTTTAGTGGATGTATTTATAGTCCACTATGCACATTATAAACACTTTCTTCAATTGCTTTTCTGTGATTTACATAAAAAATAAGGTAATATGCACCCAAAATACCTTTGCTTCTTTGCTTGCTTTTTAAACATTTTTGTAGTAAAAATTATGTTCTTCCTCTTAGTCTGATTTTTTTGCCTAGAGTAAAAGATAAAATAAAACTGCTGCTGACAAACATGATAATCTATTAAGTTTTCTTATAAACTTTATTATTTTTATTTCTTCTCAAATATATAGATTTAATTTTTATGGAAGAATTTAACAGTTAAGAAACAAATATATATTTGTGCATTGAATGTAGACTTCATGGAATTGTAAGATTTAGTTTCAATCAGACTAATTTTTTTCTGACAAAGTGTTTAAAGAAAATAAGGTAGTTGTTTTGAAATAGAAATTAGTTAAAAATATTTTCTTTAAGTTATTCTAATTAAACTAATCTCTAATTAATATAATCAACATAATAGTACTTAAAGCCACCAAGTTAGGAAAATAATTTTGTTTTGTGTGTGTATGTGTGTGCATATATATGTGTGTGTGCATATATATATATGTTTGTGTGTGTGTGTGTTTTAAGTATGACTATAAATTGATAAGTAAAGCTATTGTGTAAACAGAAGGGAGATAACTTATCTGATTATTACATTAATCTGATCAACCCAACTTCAGTTACTTAATTCTGAATTCAAATCAGGATACTAAACTTTTAAATCTTGTACAACTATTTGAAAAGTTTATAAATCATACGTCTGTTTCCTTCACTTTTTCACATGTACACACACATTTCTAGATTCATGAATATATATGCAATATTTTCTAGCACATAAAACATTTTCCCAATAAAATGTAGATTATATTCAAATACAATTTGTTGTGACTATCCATTTTTTTGAAAATATTATTTGTTGAAAAAAGATATATTTTATTTTGTGCTTTAAATAAAAAGTTGAATAATAATCATGCCCATATGCTGATGTATCATGAAAAAATAATTTCAACAGAAAACAAAACATGCATTAAGATGTATATAAAATATTGATGAATATGTTGACAAACTCAAATGATATATGACTGGTCATGTGGATTTGTCATATTTATCTTGTTATAAAGCAATGGATATTTTTAAAACCCATGTCTGATAAAATTAAATCAATCAAGATATTCCGAATAAACTTCAGTCTTAAAATGTATTTGCTTTTAAAAATTGGTTTAAGACGAGTGAAATATAATTTAATAGAGGTTTGTTTTCTTTTTCATTTTTGAGATAATCAGGAAAATCTAAGAAAAATAATTTTATACAAGAACATTTAAATAAATAAAAATGTATACTTGATGGACATAAATATATATTGAAGAGATAACAAAAACTTCTTAAAAATACTGTCATTGTGGAAGATAAAATAAATTATTTTTAGTATAAACTTAAATTTGCTATAATCTTGAGGTAGCACAGTCAAAATAATTGTAATTTCAAAAGTTAAGCAACATGATTTGATGCAGTTTTTAAAATAAAGTAAATTAGATCACTTATTGATTTTTGTTTAAATGAGTAATTATAGAAAAGCCACACTTTGGAAAAAATATTCTGTTAAGAAGAAATACGAAGCAAATGAAAAATAAATAAAACCATTAATATCAAGAAAAAGAAAGTTAATTTACATTTTTAAAATTTAATCTCAAATCACCATTGTTATGTAAATGAATCTAAATTCATAAAGAAGTCTGAAAAATCCAGAATCTGACAATACGTAAGATATTGTGTTGATTATTCTGTTCTTTAGCAAGAAAGGAAGGTTGCTCATCAAATTATTAAATATTCAGAAAGACAGAAATTCTATTGTAAAATTATGTGGTAGATTACAAAAAAAATGTCTTTTGTCAATGTAATCCAATTAAATATTTCTTAGAATTAAAATGATACATTTTTTTTTGGTGGTGCACCCAATGAGGATCAAATTAACAACAGTAATACTTTATAAGATTAGCCTGTGAAACATCACTCAATCATAAAATGACTTTATTTGTATTTATAATGATTAGTAGCATAGCACACAGCTGTAGGTATGGATCACTCAGTGAGGATCAAATTCACTAGATTAGTAGTGGCTCATATGTCTAGCTTGTTAACCACTACTCTATAGAGAGGTGTCCTGAAAATGTTCTTATTATTATTCTATTCTTTATTAAAGGAATTTTTTATTTTAGATTGTGAAAACAAGAGATTATAGTTTGATTGGAACACCTACAGATAGATGACAGCCAAGAGAAAGAAATGGACTGACTATACATTATAACTATTACTGAAGAGAGAAGCAAAATGTATGTTGTATGGAAAGTGCACACAATGGCACACAGTGACCTGAGCTTTATAAACAGTGCTAAGTTGGGTCAGAGCCAGGCTGAGATGCTTTCAAGCTCTTTGCAGGAATCCCAATTTTCTCATACCAAGTTATTCCTATTATGTATGCATATCAGGGAAGATCTTTTAGCCATCAGGAATTTAAGGCAGGTAAGGGAGTTGCAGAGATGCTTAGAACTGCCTTTGTTTCCCTTGTCACTTAGGATTGCAATTGGTGAAGAATTTGAAGAAATTAAGCATAATTAAAATCCATAAATTTGCAAGGGTGATTATTCTTCTCTTAGTTTCTAAGAATTTGATCATTAATAACCCATTGTATCCAGTAGTAACCAATAACAAAATTCTCTCTGCCTCAAAGTTAATTACAAAGTCCATTTTCCAACTGGGCATTGGTAGAAAAAGAAAAGTTGGCCAATCTCCTATCCTTTCAATCAAAAAGTGAGAAACATTTTGCCAACAGACACAGTAAAGATAAAAGATTGCAGTTTAAACAAAACTGCAAATGAGTATTTGTTAGAGTTTAAGCTTTTTGGAAGAAAATGAAGTTATTGAATTGGTTTGGAAAATTTGGAGGCAGCCATTTATCTATAAGGGTCACACTGCTGGCTTACAGTTATGAAAACAACATGTTCTATTTTATAACAGGTCATTGCAGATTTTACAAATACTAGGTTAATTACTTGATAAGAAAGCTCTTTGCTCTAGTTTAATCTTGTTCATAGAAAAGAAGCTAGTAACTTCCTACAGATCAAAC